AAAGGAGAAAGGAAGGGGCAGGGGAAAGACAGATTGGGACAAGGCCTGGACATCTGTCCTTTATAAAGGAAGGCTTGGGAGGAGTTTGATCTCTACCCTTCAGCCCTCCAGACAGAGGAAGAGGAGGCTGAAGAAGGCAGAGCCAATCAAGGCTTGAGTTAGCAGCATGGTGGTGACTTTAGAAAAAGTGATGAAATTAACCTGTAAGGGGCATCTGGTTCCATGGAGTTGAAACCTGAGGTCCATGAACTTCTAAAATGTGTGTATACATATACATATACATATACATATACATATACATATACATATACATATACATATACATATACATATACATGTATACATATATATGTATGTATATATATAACTATTTCAATAAAGTTGGTTACCTTTGTAATCCTATATATTTTATGAATTTAAAAACATTATCCTGAGAAGGGATTAATAGATTTCACCAAACTGCCAAAAAGGACTATAACAAGGAAAAAGGTTAAGAACCCTAACATTAAAGATTCTCTGCCCCTTATGAAATCAATAGACACCAAATCCATGGACAACAAGTATAAACCCCAAAATATTCTTGAGATTTCAAGAAAATTGTACTGGAACTAGAATATCATCACATTTAATATGATGTCCTGAACCTAACATTGACCCTAAAAATTTAGCAACAACAATTTTAATATATATCAATATACTTATAATCTCCAAACTATATGGAATGAAAGCTTTCAAAGTATAGACCTACACATTTCTAAGATTAGGAATTGATTCAAATGGTAAGAATAAGAGCAATTACCCAATTGATAAATGGTCAAAGGATATGAATAGGCATTTCTTAAGGAAAAAATCCAAGCTATCAATAGCCATATGAAAAAATGCTCCGAACACTAATAATTAGCAAGGTGCAAACTGAAGCAATTTTTCAATTCTACCTCATACTCATCAGATTAGCAAAGATGACAAAAATAGAAATGACAGATGCTGGAGGGGCTGTGGGAAAACAGGCACATTGATCCACTGTTGGTGAAGCTATGAATTGGTCTAGATATTTTGGAAAGCAATTTAGAACTAGGCCCAAAAAGCTGCTAAATTATGCATGCTTTTTGACCTGATAACACAGCTGTTAGGCTGATACCATAAAGAGATCAAAGAAAGAGGAAGAGTATCTATATATGCAAAATGTTTGTAGCAGTTTTTTTTATAGTGTCAAAAATGGATGCTAAAGGAGTGACCATCATTTGGAGAATGGCTGAACAAATTATGGTATATGAATGTAATAGAATAATGTTGTACTATAAGAAATGGCCAAAGGAATACTTTCAGAGAAACCTAGAAAGATTATATGAACTGATGGAGAGTGAAATGAGCAGAACCAGGAGAATAATATATGATAGCAACATTGTGAATAAAAACAAATTCAATAAACTTAAGAATTCTGACTGATACAATGACTAGTTATGTTTCCAAAGGATTGATGATGAGTCATACTACCCACTTCCTGACATTGACATGATAGATTCAGGGTGTAGAACGAGACAAACATTTTTGGACGTGGACAGTACGGGAATTTATTTTGTTTCACTATGTATATTTGTCATAAGGGTTCTGTTTTTCTTTTTTTTTTTTCAATTTGGGGGCGGGGTAGGAGAAAGAGAAAAGAAATGTTTGTTCATTGAAAAATAAAATGATAATTTTTAAAAGCCCAAAACATAAAAACATACTAGAAGAAATTAAAACCATGTGAGAATATGATGAGGTACAAATTATCTCTGTCCTGTCTATTCCTGTAGTTGTCCCAAAGATGCTTTCCGTCAGTGTACAGAAGGTGAATCTTTATCACATCCATTTTATTTGGTAACAGAAAGCAGACGTTTTATCTACCTGAACAATAGTCCATAGAACATTAAATATAAAAGAATAATAGGATAGTGACTTGTGATCAGACCATTTCTATCTGAACTCCATCAGTCAGTCAGTAAATAAACTGATAGTTAATAAATGTCTACTGTGCCTCATATGTGCCCAGTACTGTGCTAAGCACTGAAGATACAAAGAAAGACAGAAAACAGTCTCTGTTCTCAAGGAGCCTATAGTCAAATGGAGGAGACAACATGCAAACAACTATGTACAAAGATTACGCAGGAGACAATCAACAGGATGAAGGCACTAGAATTAAGGGGATCACAAAAGGATTCTTGTAGAAGGTGAGATGTTAGGTGGGATTTGAAAGAAGCCAGGGAACCCAAGGGGAGGAAGACCATTTGAAACCTGGAGAACAGCCAGTAAAATCAGAATCTGGGGGCAGCTAGGTGGCGCAGTGGATAGAGCACCTGCCCTGAAGTCAGGAGGACCTGAGTTCAAATGTGACCTCAGACCAAACACTTGATACTTACTAGCTGTGTGACCCTGGGCAAGTCACATAACCCGAATTGCCAAAAAAAAAAAATCAGAATCTGGAGATGGAGTGTCTAGTGAGAAGAATAGTAAGGGGGACAGTATAATATACATCAAAAAGTATGTGGAGGGGAATAAGGGTAAAAGAAGACTGGAAAGGCAGGAAGGGGCCAGGTGCTGAAGGAATCATCAAAAGAAAAAAGATGAGAACAAGAAAACAATAATAATAGCTGACATTTATATAGTATGGTTAGGTTTCACCTTATATGAGCCAAACAGCCTTGTAAAGTCAAGTATATACTTTAGTTGCTATTATCCTCATTTAACAGATGGGGACACTGAGGCTCTGAGATGTTAAATGATTTGCCTATGGTCTCATGCAAGTAACAGAGATGAGATTTGAAGCCAGTGCTTCAAGCCCAGCACTCTTTCCACTGAAATATACTGTAGAGCAGAGCTGTTTTATGGGCTGACGCATAATTGGAAATATCAGAGGAGGATTTCTCCTCAGTGTTTCACATCGCTGCCTCTCTAGGTAAATACTTAAAGCAAGCACTGTATACATGAGGGGGATGATTTATCATCGTCATCATCATCATCAATGGACCCTGGAATCAGAGACCTTCTTCCCCTTCCTGCTCTTTTCCCCCTCGTTTGCTCCATTTTATTGCTCCTCTCATCACCACCTCCATTACTTCCTTTCATAAGTTTTTTTAAACATCATAGTTTTAGAGATATCAGAGATCTCAGAGGTCATCTGGTCCAATCCCTTTATTTTACAGTTGAGGAAACAGACTGTGATTTGCCCAAGGTCACATAGGTAGTAGGTGGAAGGGCTAAGATTTCAATCCAGTCCCTCTGACTACAAATCCAGCATCCTACCCCCTCTCTTTCTATTGCACCATTCTGTCTCCTCATCTTTTCCCCAACACCATATCCTTTCCCTGCTCATTCCTAATTTTCACATTCTTCTTCCATACTATTTCACTTGGTCTCTTAGTCATAGTTTTCATTCTTCTTGAAGGAGGGACACTTGATTGTGCATACCTTATCCTTTGTCATATACAGAGGATCTGTAGATACTAGCTTGTTACCTACCCTGACATTCCTAGGCTCTCTTCTTGATTACTAGGTCATTTCTACTAGCCTCTTTGGGGTTAATGGAGTGTTCAAGGAGGACTGGCACCTCTGGTGTGACAGCTTGCTGAGGCCTTTTCAGGGCTGCTCATCCACCTTTGGGGCCTACCTCTCATTCAACTCCCACTTGTGGCTCCAAGAAGCTGTGGCATGCACAGCAGCCATACTGTGGTAGAACTGTCATGGCAGATGCACTAAACTAGGCTGGGGGTAACTGACAGGCCTCAAACCCATTGGCGAGTTACGGGGATGACTACTCCAAAATGTGAAGACTTTCCTGGGAGGAATGGGCAGATGGGAGCAATTTGCTCCAACTGACATGAAGGCAGCTGAAGCAGGCACTGTGGAGAGCTTAAGTAGGTCAGACATTGAAGATGCTAAGGACACACACTACATCCCATGCCATTGTCAGTCACATTGATTTTTATCTTGCCACTGGCCTTCGATGACTCTGGAAAAGAAAGTGAGGCTGGTGACTTTGTGCAACTCTGCCTCACTTTAATTCACAAGTAAGTCAAGACCACTCTGTGATGTCATTGGTCCTCTTTGAAACAAAGGCCCAACAACAACTATTTCCTTACTGTTTCTCAAAGCATCTCCCAACTTAAAAGGCATTTTCACTGGCTGTCCTCCATCCCTGCCTCATCTCTGCCTCCTGGCTTCTCTGGCTTCCTTCAAGTCTCAGCTAAAATCTCACCTACTACAGGAATCCTTTTTCCACCCCACCCCCTTCATTCTAGTGCCTTCCCTTTGTGATTATCTACAGTTTATCCTGTATACATCTTGTTTTTGCATAGTTGTTTTCCTCATTCGACTATGAGTTCTTTGAGAGCAGGAATTGCTTTTGTCTTTTTTTGTATCCCTAGTATTTAGCACAGTGCCTGGCACACAGCAGACCCCTAATAAATGCTTATTGACAGATAGCTATGGGTTCCTGTTTTAATTTGTTCTAATTTGATTTTCACTTTTTTCCAACAAAGAGAAAGGGTAATATTTGCGTATTTGTTTTGTTTCAGGTTGTAAGAACAGATCTAAGAAAGAAAATTTTACTCTGAAGGAGGATTTACCTGAAGAGCCTAAGGGGCAATTCTCAAGTCCCAAACTTTGAAAAGACCTGTGGACAGAAAGGCCATTTAGAATGGAAAATAAATAATACTATCAGGGTAAGAGAGAATAAAAACCCCCAGGAACTGGCAGACTTCCATAAGAAAACAACCAGCAAGGAGAGGGGCAGGACTATGATGAATTTAGTAGAAGCATCCATTGGAATTCAAAGATTGCTATATATCAGCGGCTCCTGACCAGAGGGAGAGTCCATGAATGTGACCTCAACAATAAGGAAGTTAATTTAGAAAGGCAGCTGAGAAATTTTAGTGGGAAGAAACAGGATAATTATGTTTCCCAGCAGACATGTCCTCAGGAAGTGTCAGTTTTCTACCAAAAATTAGTCAGAATGGAGAGAGACCATGAATGTAATGAATTTTGTAGAATCCTCAGTGGGAGCTCAAAGCTTGTTATATGCCAGAGTTCCCAAAACAGAGAGAATATATAGATGTCCTACACGTGACCAAAGGTTTGCTAAGCATTCAGTTTTCATTCAGCATCAGAGAATCCACTGTGCAGAAAAGTATGGTGAGTATAACGATACTGGCAAAGCTTACAGTTGCTGCTCACATCTCATTTTACATCAGAGAATCCAGGAAAAAGAGAAACCTTGCAAATGTGATGAATGTGGGAAAACCTTCTGTCTAAATTCAAATCTTATTCAACATGGAAAAATGCATACCAGAGAGAAACCCCACAAATATAATGACTGTGGGAAATCCTTTACTCAGTTTTCAGGGTTTATTCAACATCAGACAGTTCACACTGGAGAAAGTCATAAGTGTGATGAAGGTGGGATAGCCTTCAGCAGTAGTTCCAATCTCATGGAACATTGGAGAATTCTTTCCAGTAAGAAATCTTTTCAATGTAACAATTGTGAGAAAACCTTCACTAACACAACAAGTTTGAATTACCATCAGAGAATTCATGCTGGAGAGAAGCCTTATAAATGTAGTGAATGTAGAAAATCTTTCACCCGACACTCTGTCCTTATTCGACATCAGAGAGCTCACACAGGTGAGAAAGCACTGAATGTGGGAATGAATTCAGTAGAAAATCAATCCTTAATGAACATTTTAGAGTTCATACTGGGGAAAAGCCATATAAATGTCATGAATGTGGGAAAGGTTTCAGTTGGAACTCTAACCTTACCCAACATCAGACCATTCATACTGGAGAGAAGCTGCTTGAATGTAAGGAATGTAGGAAACCCTTCAGTCAGAGATCTAACCTTATCCAACACCAAAGAATTCACACTGGAGAAAAGCTATTTGCATGTCTTGAATGTGGGAAAGCCTTCCAAAGCTCCAATCTTACAAGACATTGGAGAATTCATTCTAGAAAGAAGCAATGTGAAAATAAATAGTTTTCATTTATTCATTCAATAACCACTTATTAAATGCATACCAGGCACTATGCTGGGGATAAAAAGACCGAAATGAAACCATTCCTATCTTCAATCTGAACACAGATAAGTGAATACAAAATAAATACAAAATAAATTGGGTGTGTGGGAGTGGCAGGGTGGGGGGGGAGAGACACTATCAATGGGGAGGATGAAATAGGCCTACCATGGTAAGGAGTACTTGAGTCGAGCCTTAAGAGAAGACAGGGGTTCTGCAAAGCAGAAGCAAGGAAGGAATGCATTCCAAGCTGGGGGAATAACCTCTACAAAGATATTGAAGCAAGAGATGGAAAGTCATATGTGGGCAACAGCTGGTAGGCCAATTTGGCTAGCACCGTGTATGTAGGAGAATGACATGTAATAATCCTAGAAGGACAGGCTGCAGTCAGGTTGTGAAGAGATTTAAATGCCACAAGTGTTTGCATTTTATCTTAGAGGCAAGATTCAGCCACTGAAGCTTCTTGACCTAAGGAGTGACATGGTCAGACTTATGTTTTAACAATAACCATTTAGCAGCTTTGTGGAGGATAGAATGGAAACTAGAAAGAGGCTGGAGGCAGGAAGACCTATAAAGAGACTATTGTGATAAACTAGACATAAACAATGCAGGCTAGAACCAGGGAAGTTAGGGTGTAAGTAGAGAGGAGAGGATGGATTGAAATACACGCCAGAGATATTACAAGTCTTGACAATAGATTAAACACAGGGAGTTAGGAAAGAGAACTAATGAGAATGATTCTGAGGTTGTGAGCCTGGGTAACTGGAAGGGTGTTGGTGAACTCAGTGGAAACAGGAAAGTTAGGAAGAGAAGTGAATTGGAAGGGGAGAAATGAGTTTTGTTTTGGATATGTTGAGGTCCATGAGACATCCATTTCTAAATGCTCAGTTGGCAGTCAGTGATGTGAGAGTAGAGTTTAGAAAAAGACTGAATGTATAGGTTGGGGGGCATAGCCACATGGAGACAATAATTGAACCTTTGGGAATTGATGATATCAAAAGAGAGTGTATAGAAAAAAGAGGCAAGACAAGAAGGGTCTGACCACACACAGTGGCTTTGTCATAGATGATCTAGCTATAGAGACTGAGAAGGAACAGGGGAACCAGGAGATAGCAGTACCACAAAAACTCAGGGAGAGGAGAGTATTCATGCAGAGGGACATTGTCAAACACTGAAAAAAGTTCAAGAACCTTGAGGATTTTAAGAGGCCATCAGATTTAGCAAATTAAGGGCTTTCAGACTATCTTGGAGAGGGTACTTTCTGTTGTGATGTGGTCGAAAGTGAGATCCGATAAGATTGAGAAAAATTGGAGGCAATGAATAAGGATGGCTTTTTCAGGAGTTTGTGTATGAAAGGGAGGAGAGATATAGGGAAAGGAAAGTCTTTACCTAATAGTCATTAAAGATTGAGCTCCAGAGAGTCACACAACCAAGTCCTTTTGTGAAAGTTATTTGTATTAGGAAAGGACAGCTTTGCAAAACTCCTTAATCTACTGTAAGCTGTTTGAGGGCAGTGTTTAAGTGTTTTGATTCAATTTGCAACATGCATAGAAGCAATTAGCAAATGCTTATTTATTGAATGATTAAACTGTTGCTTATGCAAATTTTTTGTGTAAAAATCTTTGTGTAAAAATCCATATCAGAAAACCCCTTTGCCTAGTAATGCTCTATTTGTGTCTTATCCTCCTACTACAATATAAGTTCCATGAGGGCAGGTACTACATTTTATCAAATTTGGTATCTCCCTTAGCACCTAGCATTATGCCCTGTATGCAAAAGGTGCTTAATAATGTTTGTTGAGTTAAATTGAATCTCTATTTGAACTTACTCTCTCCCTAGAAAGTGTATGAACTGAAAAGAATCACATGGCCTATGTCCTTAAATATATCATTCAGAATTACTTTTCATCGCTAATAAAATGAGAGTAGGGAAGTGAAATTCGTGGTATGGGGGAATTTGGAATGAGGGATTATGTACTGGAAGAGAGGGTGTCCCATAAAATTTCTTGTGTTGGGAAGTTTCTAAAAGATGATAGTCTTTTAGGCCACTGAATATACTGAGTTGGAGAAATTAGGGCAGGAGATGACTGACTGACATCCTCATAGAGAAAGTAAATGATATTCTGTAATTGTATGAACTCCTTAAGTGTTTATTGAGGAAGAAGGACAGAGGGCCCAAAGATTTCAAGGTCATAGATCTAGAGTTAGCAGGGATCTCAGAGGCAATCTAGTGTAACTCCCCATTTGACATATGAGGAATCTACAAATGAGTGGGTAAAGTATTTATTAAGTGTCAGGCACTGTGCTAAGCACTGAGGATACAGAGACAAAAAAGAACCCTAGAATTTGAATTAGGGGGGAAAAAGCTATCCTTATTCATTGCCTCCAATTTTTCTTAATCTTATCTAATCTTGTTTCCAACCACATCACAATGGAATCTACCATCTCCAAGATCATTTGAAAACCCTTAATTGCTAAATCTGATGGCCTCTTAAAATCCTCAAGCTCCTTGAACTTTTTTCAGTGTTTGACAATATACAAGACAATACTTGAGGGAAGGGTCAAGGTTACTCATACAGCAACATGGTTTGGAATATCCAGGAAGTGTCATGGTAGCCTAGTTCTGGAGTCCAAAGGGCAAAGTCTGAAGTCTGGTGCTGGGAAGGACATGGGTCAGAACACAGCAAGCATGGTTTAGAAATAGCCAGGAAGTGGTGTGGTGCCATGTGTCCGAGCAAGATAACAGCTTACCCATATGAGCCTAGGGTCTCAGACAAGGAAGTAGAAAGGAAACCACATAAGGATGACTTCAAAGAAATGTATGAGTGAAAAAGACAACAGATTGGTCATGTGGTGAGTTCAGGGTAGTGGTGAAGGAGGATAACTGGTGAACTATTTACATGTTTCATTAGCATCCCCATGATATCAAGAGATATTAATGAAGGCCCCCAACAAACTGAGTGGAACCTGTATGCCAAATCCGTAGGAGGACAAAGACAAGAGTTTCCCGAGATTGGCAAGCGTGAGTGGATTGTGATCTCTATTGCTGGAAACTATACTCACATCAATTTGATTACTAGTCTGAATACAACAGTAAAACAAAGACTGACCCATAACATTGTACTACCTTTTTCTTCCCTAACTCAGATCCTAGTGTTCTTTTTTCCCCTTTTAAAAAAAATTTTAGGGGGCAGCTAGGTGGCGCAGTGGATAGAGCACTGGCCCTGAAGTCAGGAAAACCTGAGTTCAAATCCAGCCTCTGACACATAACACTCACTAGCTGTGCAACTCTGGGCAAGTCACTTAACCCCAAATACCTCAACAACAACAACAACAACAATATATATATATATATATATATATATATATATGTTTAGTTTTCAACATTCACTTCCATAAGTTTTTGAGTTTTAAATCTTTTCCCCTTCCCTCTCCTCCTCCTCCCCAAGATGGCATGCAATCTGATATAGGTTCTCCATATACATTCATATTAAACACATTTTCACATTAGTCCTATTGTAAAGAAGAATTAGAACCAATAGGGGGAACCACGAGAAAGAAGAAATAAAACAAAACAACAACAATTAAAAAAGAGAGCAAATAGTATGTTCAATATGCATTCATACACCATAGTTCTTTCTCTGGATGTGGACAGCATTTTCCATCACAAGTCTTCTGGAGTCGTCTTAGATCCTTGCATTGCTGAGAAGAGCCTCGATTATGAAAGTTAGTCATCACACAATGTAGCTATTACTGTGTACAATGTTCTCCTGGTTCTGCTCACTTCACTCAGCATCAGTCCATATAAGTCTTTCCAGGCTTTTCTGAAGTCTGTCTACTCATCATATCTTTTTTGTTTGTTTGTTTGTTTTTTGGCTAGGCAATGGGGTTAAGTAACTTGCCCAGGGTCACATAGTTAGTAAGTATTATGTGTCTGAGGCCAGATTTGAACTCAGGTCCTCCTGAATCCAAGGTCAATGCTCTATCCACTGCGCTAGCTGCCCCAGCTCATCATTTCTTATAGCACAATAGCATTCCATTACATTCATATACCACAACTTGTTCATCCATTCCCCAGTTGATGGACAATCCCCTCAATTTCCAATTCTTGGCCATCACAAAAAGAGTGGAGCTGCTATAAATATTTTTGTACCTGTAGGTCCTTTTCCCATTTTTATGATCTCTTTGGGATACAACCCTAGAAGTGCTATTTCTGGGTCAAAGGGTATGCATAGTTTTATAGCCCTCTTGGCATAGTTTCAAATTGCTCTCCAGAGTGGTTGAATCAGTTCACAACTTCATCAACAATGCATTAGTATTCCAATTTTCCCACATCTTCTCCAACATTTATCGTTTTCCTGTTTCGTCACATTAGCCAATCTGCTAGGTATGATGTTGTACCTCAGAGTTGTTTTGATTTGCATTTCTCTAATCTATATTGATTTACAGCATTTTTTTTTTTAGGCAATTGGGGTTAAGTGACTTGCCCAGGGTCACACAGCTAGGAAGTGTCAAGTGTTTGGTCTGAGGCTAGATTTGAACTCAGGTCCTCCTGACTTCAGGGCCGGTGCTCTATCCACTGCACCACCTAGCTGCCCCTGATTTAGAGCATTTTTTCATATGACTATAGATAGCTTTAATTTATTTATCTGAAAACTACCTGTTCATATACTTTGACTATTTATCAATTGGGGAATGACTTGTATTCTTATAAATTTGACTCAGTTCTCTATATATTTTAGAAATGAGGCCTTTATCAGAGACACTGGCTATAAAAATTGTTTCCCATCTTTCTGCTTCCCTTCTAATCTTGGTTGCATTGGCTTTGTTTGTGCAAAAACTTTTCAATTTAATGCAATCAAAATCATCCATTTTGCATTTCATTATGTTCTCTATCTCTTATTTGGTCATAAATCCTTCCCTTCTCCATAGATCTGACAGGTAAACTATTCCTTGCTCTCCTA